ACAATTATAAATCTATTCTTTTTGTCTAAGTTGTCTCCATCCCTTGTTTTATTTCAAACTTGATAAGCTATTTTAAGGGAATCAGAATGCCTGAATTCACCCTTCTTAGCATGGACGTGTAGACTTGTTACATGTACTTAAGTCATAAATTATCATACTTCTCCACACTTACAAGTGAGGTTATTTCTTCAGGATGAAGGGTAATTTTGCATGCTGCTGCTATGGTTGTCTAAAATGTGAATTATGCTTTTAAACACTGCAGAATGATTCATGTTTATTTGCATTGTATTTACAGCTTCATCTTCTCCGGCCATTGGTGTTGTTGAGACACTTTATAAAAGAAGTGTGACAAACCCCGAGGTACCAGATGCATCCCAAGCGATTGAGATCAAAAGGCCTATCACGTCAGATAAAGATAACAGGACAGCCGGGAATCCGAAAAATGACTCAAGTATGCCGTAGTTTCTCTTCTTTTGTTACTTCCATAGCAATGACGTTTTAATGGTACTGTATACGGTGTTCCTCTAGATTGGGTTTCGCCAATACACTTGGTTCTGGTAGATAGTTGCCTAAGCGCTGTGGTGTGTGAATGAGGGATGCTAAGTTTGTTTGCTACTGACTCGATTGATTGATTGGCTTGGATGTGATTTTTCCTCTTAACAGAAGTTGCTGTTCTTGCTGTAATTTTAGTTTCTTAGGAGTTACGATGAGTGATAGCTTTAGCTTTTAACGGTATTTAATTTCCTATATCATTCCCTGATGGATCATAGTTTTAAATAGCAATATTGAACATGATATAGCTAGTAGCTATACATTGCTAGAGCTTATGCTAAGCCATAGGTGTTGTGGTACAGTATTCTTCGTATGGTGCAGTTAAAGTGAGCACTGCTAGGGATATAGAACTCTTGTTTGTGGTGTTTACCGTTTGCGCTATATGGTAAACGTAATGGCATGTAAAACTCTAACAAGACTGGGAGCAATATACAACCACACCGCCTTCTATTATGTCCAGAGATAAAGGCCGGAACTCTGCCTCTCTAGAGGACAGTTCTGGCAGCCACTTCTCTTATGATCTTCAATTAGTTCTTTCTATCATCTTCACTTTCACTTTTCCTTTTTTGTGTCATGGAAAAGCCGAGATGCGGCAGGAATGCCTATTTATGGTTTGAGTAAAGAGGAGGAGCCTATTTGAGATCTCATAGGACGCTAAGCTTTTTTAACGTTGATTTAAGTGTTGACATTGAGATTTTTGGTTAATTCAGTTAGGTTCTGGATGATTATTAAACTGTCGTGTTACATTTTCAACAACTGTTTAGTTTCTTATACTTGTGTACTACATCGTAACGACACTAGATTTATTCACATTCTTATGATATATTTAATTTAATGTGTGCTGCATATCAGTATATCATGTGGAACACCGTGCTGCAACATTTAGGAGCCCTTATTGGATAGTGGAGGGAGTTATATTTTCTATTTTCTGTGGACAGTTTTTGGATTGGGATTTTGTAATTTTGCCCCCAAGTGACCTGTCAGAATTCTCCATGGGTCTAGACATGATATCCGGGGGTAAAGCTCTTCATAATTGGTCCTTCGATATTTTGCCGATTATGGTTTGCTCTCCTTGTTCTCTTCAGTTTCCTATTTTCGTTCTTTGTTGTGAATGGGTAAGTAGTGGTTTTCTTCTCCCAAAATAATGATTGTTGCATTCAGCAGAATTTATAATGGCTGGGGCTAAAAAGCTTTGATTTTCATTTTAACTTTTCCATGCTCATACTCACTCTCTGTTAAGGTTTGGATCAATGGCTAAATGTGCTGAAGAACAATTTTCCATTAACAGAAGGAGATATCAGATCTCTAGCTTCTGCTGGTGGCAGCAAATCGCAATCTCACACGCACACACACAAAGACAAAGCATAAAGCACCGTTTTATTCATACTAGACTCAGACTAATGCGTTTGATGGAGTGTGTTTACTGAAAGGGAGCAATGCCATTTCTTTTTCTGTTTGCTATATTGGTTAAACTTTTGATGACATTGTGGGTTTGCAAAGTTCAAATAATGGTAGGCGAAAACATGAAGGAAATTGATAATAATATAATATATTTTTTGGCTACTTATCCTTTCTCTCTTACAACATGTTCTTTATCTAATGACAAATCACACTTGGACTTGTGACTTTGACAGTGAGTCCTGTCATGGACATGCAGCGTTTGTATAAGAATCAGCTGCAAAACTACGCTCAAAAGAGAAACCTGAATCTACCCGAGTATTCTACCGAGCAAGAGGGTCCTCCTCATGCTAGTCGTTTTAAGTGTAAAGTTACAATAGATGGACAAACTTTTGAGAGTCCCCAGTTTTTTCCTACATTAAAGGATGCTGAACATGCAGCTGCAAAAGTTGCTCTGATGTCATTGACAGTTCCTGGAGCTCAAGAGGCTGGTTTTTAAATTTTAATCACCTGTGGCCACTAGTGTAACTTTATTCTTTAGCTTTTAAAATTGTCATGTAGCGATGCTTATCTCATCCATATGATTGCCTTTACCTTTCAGGATGATATTGGTTTATACAAGAACCTTTTACAAGAATTGGTTCAAAAGGAAGGACTTTGTTTACCTGTTTACAACACTACCAAATCTGGTGAGGCTCATATGCCCAAATTTGTTTCAAATGTGGAGATAGGAGGAGCACTTTATACTGGACAAGAAGCAAAAACAAAGAAACAGGCTGAGATGAGTGCAGCCAAGGTTGCTTACACAACCTTGAAAGAACACAAAGGTGTTTTCTTTTTTGTTGATACTCGTCTTAATCTTTTTCCCTACTGTTTGTGAATAGTCATATTGATTGTATGTTGCTTTTTTTTCCTTGGATGAAAAAAGAACATATTAAGGAGAATGAAAGAAGTGCAAGTTTGCAACAATGGAGGTATGAAATCCTCCTACAGCAAACGTACTTGGAAAATGAATGAGCGAATTTATAGGAAAAGCATCAGCTCAAGATAGCTCTCTAACCCCTTTTAAATCCTGAAGGAAAAAAAAAAAAAAAAGCCCATGATCTGAAAAAGCATTTCCATCCTACTTCCATAAGAGATGGGGAGGAAGAAACTTGATTCCCTTTAGTGTTTTACGGTTTATTTATTACTATGTATCCAGCAACGATCTTGTGTGACAAGGATGCTTTCTTAGTTGTAAGCACTAGGAGTCTTACTCTAGCTCAGTTTTTCCCTCTAATTATCAAGTTCTCAGCCTTCTCTAATACTTCTATCCCCTCGAATAATCTCCAAACTATTAGGACTATAATGAACTGTAAGATTTACTAAAGATTATAGGAGCTGGTAGCATTATCTCTGCTTAGAAATACTGGTCATTATACTGTATCTTGCTTTTTCTTTCAGGTAAGCTAAATCAAAGCTCATTGATTCAGCCCCCTGCTCATCAAGCACAGGCTCCTGCATTGTCATCTCACAACTCAGATTCAACTGACCTAACTCACTTCCAACACTATGCCAATTCAAAATCTCCTATTGTTTATAACCCTAACTCAGTGACTCAGATCCAATATGAGGATGATAAGGGTAAGTCGTTTTCAATGCTTCTAGCATTCTAGAGTTTTCACTTTCTATATGACAACTTTTTCTCTGCCACTTCCTTAACAATGAATAAAAAGGATATTTTGTCTTAGAAACCTATTTTCAGTTTTTAGACTACTACTTGCATCAAGCCGAATGTTCTATTGACTTTAGAGTGAAAATTAGATGTTGGGATTATACCCACTAATGTTGAAGTTTACCAAAACCGTCAACTTTTCACCATCAATTGACTTCATGAGTCTGGCAGTTTAGGGACGTTATCAACTCTAATTTTTAGCTTGAAGGAAGAGTGTTTGCTAGACAAAAGAGCATTCGAGACCCAAAAATAGAGAGTCATTTATAGTCTAATATCCATGTATGAAGTAGATAATCCTTGGTGTGAGGAGCATCAGTTCTCATATGAGACGGAATTAGCATTTAGAATGACATTTGCAATTTAGCTTACCACATAAGACATAATTGAAACAAAATTAATTGGGGCTCTTGTCAGCCTTTATATCTAAGGAATAAGAACAGAAAATATAGATGAAATACATGAAATTACATGCTTGATTTTTAATGTCTTCCGAAGTCGTGCTTTCTTTTGTGAATTGTGGAGGTGATATTTATTGGGAATTTATTTAATGATACAAAATGAAAAATAAAAATAATTATCAATTCCTTGTAGTCTTAGGTGCGCTTTAATTGTTCTCTTTACCAGGTTGAGAATTATTTCTCGTGGCAGTCCTTATGTATTAAAATGAATTCAAGTCTTGCTAGAATTCTCACCACGAATATAGCTGCAGGCTGCGCTGCTGAGGTTAAAAGTTATCACACTGCTCACCCATCTTCAGAACACATCACAGTTGCAGCTGGGAGCGATTCTGCTCCTCCCGAAATTACTATTCGCTGTGTAGAAACCGCCTCTCTATCAAGTATCCAGTCTTCACCTGCACTCACTAAGAGCGACAACTTGACAACAGGCTCAGGTGGCAGGCCTTCAACTGCAGCTAGCACCTCAACCTGCAGAAAGGTCATTGTTTACTCGCGCAAGACAAACGTGACGATTGCTTCAGGCGGCGCTCTCTTGCCTATAAGCGACGAGAATTATGTTGCTTACTCCTATCCTGAGTGAGAAATTTGCGAGTTGCTGGCTCAAATGGCATCATTGGTTGGATGAAACTGAAAGGAGACAATACTCAAGCTCCTGTGTTCTGTTAGCTCCACTTTTCCCCTACTGAACACATTTTAACTTGTCCAAAATCATGATATCTTCTTGAGTTGAAAATAAAAATACTTGTATTACATCATAGAAAATTAATACATTTCATATTAAAAAACAAAAAAAAATTGCATATAAATCCCCCCTCCCCTAACTGTTTCATCGTTATCAAAGCATAAGCAGATTTCCTTTTTTCCTGAAAGAGAAAAAATTATGAAGGGCTCTTTTAGCCAACTTAATATATCTATTATTAAAGCTACAAAATTTTGATGTATTCAAAACCAGAAAATCACATCAGAACTCCTTCTAAATTATGAAGGGCTCTTTTAGCCAACTTAAATTTTGGAGCAAGAGCCTTGTCGGCTTTCAGAATATACTCCTTAATGAAGAACTCAATGCCTTCTCTAAGGCTTTCAAGCGCAGGGGTCACCGCAACACGGGTGAATATGTTCCACACTTGGCTATCCGAATACTCAAAAATGGACTCAAAAAACATGCGGAAATGCATGATCTTCTTTGGGGTTAACTGGGTGATGTCGCCTAGCTCAATGGTCTTCAAAACTGCGAGGGAGAGAGTGAAAGAGGCAACCATTTCTGCCACAAATTTTGCCAGATGCATTGACCTCATCAGCTGCATTGATTCCAGCTCCTTAAACTGGTCCCAAAGGCAAAACTGCAAACAAAAATCCCCAAAAACATCAACTTGAATCAAATTCCACTTTTAAAAACGAACATTTCAAAATAAGTGTTGCCACGTCCTTCATCACAAGGCGAATTAAAAATATCTTTCGATGCACGACAAAAGGGGGAACAATAACCTGTAGAGTGAATTTGTGATTTCTATCATGCTCACACAACTTGGAAGCCAATACAGTATAATACTTATTAAAAACCTTCTCCTGCAAGCAGCACTCCAAAAGAACACGCATTATCTCTCGGTCCTGCACAGACGTGAAACAATTACGTATCACTCAATAGAAGATCACATCGCTAAAAATAGGACACAAGTAACATAGGGAAAAGGTTGACCTGCTTTCCCGGTAAGTCTAGTCTTAGAAGCTTCTCAAATGCATCAATATAGTCCTCCCCACTCATTATTATACAAAAGATTGCTCTTCTACCATCTGTGTTCATCCTTTGAGCGGCAGCAAGCTGCAACATTCGCTGGGTTTCGAGAACATCTTTATCTATTCTGTTGGCAACTTCCACAACATTATCTGTTGCGGGAGCTGCGTCCCCAGACAACCACCATTGGCCTTTCTTGTTGGGGTCAAGCAACTTATTCCATTTAAATCCTCTAATCAAAACATCATCCACCCTTAGCTGGAACAAGTATTAGGACAAAAATTAATAAACTATCATTTACAAATGGCGTTTAAATAAAAAACTGACAGTTAAAACAACAGATAATGTTTTTAAAGCATTACTTTTTCCAAGCAAAAGTATAACAAAGGACATACTAATATGCAACAACATATTAGATAAGGCTGCCAAAACGTTCAGATTAGAGAATGGTACCTTCTGTAACCACTTCTTAATCCTTGTGTGATGTGCAGGGTCCTCTTTGGGCCTTTTCTTGTTGTTCTTGATGTCACAGATGGTTTCAAGCATAAATTCCATCTACAAGTGTCACTAAATAATCAGTTCTGGACACTGTCAAGAAAAAGTGAAGGCAGTTTGATGATAGAGCATAGCATGCTCACTCTTTTGCTATATATTTTTTCTTGGTCCCCACCATCAGAAGCCTTCAACTCATTTGCCCGATTCTGAACACTCACAATGAAATCTTTCATGGCAGCAGGATCATCGGCCCTGATTTTCATCCCACAGCCTATTTAAACATGTTGAAGTCAGATAACAGGGTTTGAAAAGTACCGTCTTGTTACAACATAATATTGATTTCAGACTTCAGTTCATGCAACATGAAAATTGGACAGGGGGGAAAAAAGAATAAAGCAAGAGAAATGAACAAAACAGATGCACATTCGTACTATGATTTTTAAAAAAATGAGTACAATGCAATGACAATATTAAGTTAGCCGGATGAGTGGAAGGAACTCCTTGCTTATGCCTCTACACATTTTTAATAGTGTGTTTACGCAAGTAACTATATTTTTGACAAACAATCAGAAAAAATATCGAGGAACATAATCACTTGTAGCACTTGTGAAATTGATATCCCAATATATGAAAATCTGAACATATAATGGTACGTTACATGGATTGTAAAGTGTGTGAAAGTACATGAAGCTGCACCACTTTCTAACATAACTGTTTTGTCAAGAAAATGCATTAAGAGCATGCCCAACTCAGGACTTACCATAAATGAATTAGGCCAATGTGGATGTCTTAATAACTTATTTGCAGCGGTTTACATCCCTAGCAATTCTACGTAAAATTAACCCAAACCTAACATGTGCAGCTTAAAAGATTATTCATCGTGGGAAAAAAGAAACTTACATTGTAACACCGTTAAGATGGTAGAGACATCGATCTCTGTTAACCTCTTACTCAGGATGATGAGGAAGTCATATATTAAATCACTGAATTGCAAGACATGATTGTTAGAAAAATATAGTTGAGAGGGATTCAGTACAAAAATTGGTCATATTACTAATGACAGATGCAAATGAACTCCAAGCAGCAGCTCATTACAACAGAAATACAAGTTAGAAATCCATCAAACTCAGATAGTCACTTAAAAAGTGACACGCCTAATATTTGCAAAAGATGTTAAATCACACAAAACTAGCTTTATTCTTGCCCAATAATCATAAAAGTTGAAATTTTGAACAACAGGCGAAGTCATGGCCGGCAGCCAACTGTCTATTCCATAAATTGATTTTATGAGTTGCAAAAGATCACAAAAATATATGCGCATGTGTTTTGCATGTAAGAGTGCATCATGTAATGCAGTCAGTTCACCTTGAGCAGACCCCAAATATGCATAAATAGCATAGGAGAAGAGTGAGATTTCGCAGAGAGAGATTGTCTTCCTTGTTATATTCATCCTGTGAGAAAAGCATGGGAAATTAGAAGACTCTGACAGGTCAATCAAAGACTTGAGAAGAATCTAAAATCCAAAAATCCAACCAATAAACAAAATCAGCAATGTTAGAAAACTATTTTATTTATTTAAATGCTATACCTCAAAGCATTTGGCAAAGGAGGCCATAAACTTTGCACTGAAGTCAATACCAACCAGGCAGGCCATCCCAGCAACAAAGGCTGCAAAAACAGCAGCATACCTTCACAGAAGAGGGCAGTAAACAAAATTATCAGCAACATTTGAAACAAATATAGAAGAGAGAAAGCTCAACACATCAAAGTTAACTTACCGGTTTCATCAAACAAAATAACAATAGTATTGAGCTAAGAAACTACAATGTAAGAAATGTGCTCAATACAATACTGGGACATCAATGTCATATACAAGAAACATCTCATACAATTCCTGCAGAGCCGGAATTAAATTTATCTAGGGAACAGTACATAGAATGTATCGAACAGACATTTAGCAGGGTACAGGAAAGTTATCAGTCATTACTATGAGCTGCAACAAAAGAAATGCGTCCACAACAACAGTGGGAGTAAAATCTAAAAGCAACTTTCATACAATTCCTGAAGTGCCAGATTTAAAATTTTTCATTGGAGCATTATATATTATATAGGGTATACCAAACAGAACATCCAGAAGGGTGCAGGGTAGTTATCAATCATGACCTAATTTTTCTTTTAGGCAATTAACAATATAAATAACCTTTATCACAAGATAAATAATTTGGAGAGGGGGATGACAGGACACCTACATGGGAATAAGATAAGAGACAAGATATTAATAAAAACCTCTCCGGTCCAATTCATTGCCATTTAGGGATAATGCACCCCAAATCCACAAATAATAATGGCTTATTCAATCCCTAAGCAAATGAATAGGCATAACGTATTCCTGCAAGCTAACTGGAAACATTTCATAACTCCAGGAATTTATGTTCCTCCTTGTTTCTAAAGCCTCTGAAAGCTATTGACAATATAGGAAATTGTTATGTGATAAATGGCTAGTAGAGGCTTTATTAAGTTAGTTGGTAACATCGCCCTTACCCCTATCTATAGCAGAGCACAAGGGAGTCATTGTATGGAAGCCTTGGTGGCCTTTGTGTAATAAAAATTTCAGTTAAGTTCCAGTTCCTTTCTCTTTCTCTTGGCTCTAACTTAACATCACCAAAAAAAAAAAAAGAACAAATCTTCTTCTACCATCTACTGCAGATCAGAAATCCACATCATCCTAACAATTGTAAACAATCTATACAACCCCCCAAGTCATTGAATAGCAGAAGGAAAAAAACAGTTTTCCAAACAACCAGACCACATAAATATGCAATTGGAATTTATCATATTATAGACCACAGAAAAATAAAGGACTGGACCCCAAGAGTGTATTTACAATTTACATATCATAACCCTTCCCTTAACAACTTGAGCTTTCTGACTTGAAGTGAGGTCCTTAGCATGGCATGATAAGTGTCAAAGAAGTAAGAATAGAAGAGAGAAGAGGAGAGAGAAAAATGAACTCGTAATTCGCCAAATGTTAAAGTTAACTCCTCTTCAGTTACAGTGCTATTTAATGAGTCAGAGTCCTAACAAACTCACTTTCTTTTCCTAACAATATCAACTAGCAAACTGATTGCTATCTTTCTGACACACATAACATGGCATCACAAAGAGGTCAAGAGTTTGATACTGGTCACGCTTTCCCTCTTAACCCCAAAAAAAAAAAAAAGGTGCAGTACAGGGAGCAGCGAGCCTAAGAACATAAACCTCAAAAGGCATTTGTATAGAGGGGTGACACTTGATTTTAATATTATAACTCTATTCATGGTTTTTCACGTAACAACTCGTGTTGTCGAAATGAAGACAGTGGTCATGGACAACTGTAACATTAAAATCCCACCAGGAAAATGCAAACAAATTAAGGACAAAAGATTCGAGGAAATTTCTAAATCTCCAATACGATATTTACAAAACCCATAAAGCAGCCACTTCAGCCCTAACATTACCAATTATTCATAAGATACATGAAAGAATGCCAATAGAGATCCCAGCAAAAGAATTTTTTATGATTCAATCACATCAATGTCATTCTCCATGAGGTCTTTTGCAGCCATGTTTTCTCTCCTCATTTTTATAAACTACCTCCTCTGCCTCTTTTCAATTTTATCATTTTTTATGTTTTAACTCTCTGGCCAAAGCAGCTGCATCCTAACAAGTGTCAGCATCATTCACTACTATCGTATCCCTAATTTTGATTTGATAACAAATGCTTATCTTTCCCCAATGAAAGAATGGTGCCAACAATTAAATGAACTTGGATAAGAGAGATCAAGAACACTACAGCACAACATAAAAGGCATAAATTCTTAACTGTTCATTGCCACGGGGACCTCCAGAACAAGATGCTAAAATCTCTTCGCTAATTATCTGTGAAGCAACACTTCGAGCAATTGTCTGCAAAGGGATCACATTAAAGAGTAAGAGATAAAATTTCAGAAAGCAACAACTTTCATTGATACAAGCAACCAGGGAGGAGAATCAAATTTCCAAGGCATAGTTTCCCTAAACTGTGTTGATTGAAATGGAACCAACCCAAATTTTAAGATTCAAAACATAAAATAAATTACTGTTACTATTACTAATATTCCTATGAAAGGAATGAGATATCTCAAAAAAGGGAATAAATACGACCTACATCACATATCTAATTTATAATTACAGTGCATAAATCCAACTAGCATAAAAACTTCAAAAAAAAAAAAACTCAATGCACCATTAGGTCATTTTCTTTTTATCCAGTGAATGATATAAACAGCGAGCATTGTGTTTTATTTACAGAATTAAATGAAAAATACATTTTAAGGGAAAATGGATGTATACAAGACTTCCTATATTTTATTGTCTTCCCTTAATGCCTCTTCTTTTACCATTTGGAGAAGCAATAATATGCAATATTCTATGAAAAGAATGAGATAAAGAGTAAGCATCTGATTGTTATGTATCCATAGCAGTAGCATACCTGAAAGATCGTAGAAATCTCTCCTGTGATTGATTCCACATTAGATTCTGAGAGCCTGTTAAGCAGACCTGAGACAAGTTTAATTTTAGGTAAGAAAACTAAAGACAAACAATAAAGAAATGCAAAACCCATTCAAAGTCTATCTTTCTTGCCTCGAATTCGCCTTCGGATCTGAGTATGCTCTTCAGGTTCATTTCCAGCACGTGCTCTCAAGTGAGGTGCTATGTATTTTTCATTAGTTCTTTTTTCTGGCACCAGAGCAGGAACATGCATTCTTGCCGTCTCTTTTTCACAGGAATTGGCAAGCTTGGATATGCATGTGGCAGCAGCATTCACATCACTACCTTCTTGCTGTTGTTCCAGCAATTTTCTTTTCTTATGTTTCTTACTTGAGGGCGCACTAACGGAAAATTCTGTCGATCCAAAATCTTGGTTAGAAGTATCTGCAAGCCTTGAAATTTCAGGTATTGACCTTGCTTGTGGCCCTTCCCTTGCCAATATGTCATCCTCAGTTTTATTATGTGAAGATCTCTTCTTCAATTTTTTTGCGGGTAATTCATCACTAGGTACTTCCCCTTCGCCCATGAAATCAATAATAGATGGCATTCCATCAAGTAATATATTGAGACCATCATCCATACCCCTTAATTTTCCGTCTTTCACTTTGAGCTTTTTGGCTAGTTTCCTTTCCAAATCTTGATCCTTCTTGGCAGCTATGGAAACATCTGGCACACCAACCGGGAAACATCTGGACTTCTTCCTGGAATTTTCCTTCGAACCTTTATTTCCTTTCTTCATTATTGTTGCAACAGAACCATGACAAATCATTGATTTTGACTCAGTAATTTCCTTTGACATTTCACAATCCTCAGCTGTACTATGTCTCCCAGAGTTGGATTCTGACTTGTTAACCTTTGTTTCCTTTACACTAGGGCTGAGCAAATGATTTGATTTGCATGTAGTATTTGCCTCTGAATCCTGGTTAACTCTTTTCATTGCGCGAGATATCTATTAGAGTAAAGTAATTATACATTTTAGAAATAGCTACTCAATACTTGGTGGCCAAGCATGACAGACAGATAATAAGGAATAACTTCTCAATACTTGGTGGCAAAGCATGACAGACAGAGAATAAGGACTTGTATGGGAGTTTTGAAGAGCTTAAGGTGATGTGAGAATTGTTCAGCGTTACACCCCCGGGGGGGGGGGGGGGAGGAGGAATATACCCCATTTTTAATCATCTCAACGAAATTGAGAATGGAAGAATAAATGAAAAATACAAGTAACACAATCCTTACAAACCACCAGTTTGAAAGGGTTTGTGAATTGGATTTCGAGGAGCATTGGATATAATTTTTTTCCTCACAAACTCACATTTGTTTTATTTCTGAGGCATCTAAACAGCAATTTCGTGGAAAATCATCCTCATACTCAAGCTTTGAAATCTCGTATAAAAAAAGGTCATATTTATACCTGGTCATCCAGCCAAGATTGATGTTTATTCGCCTTCTTTGCCAGGCGGGCTTCTTTTCGCCTTTCTCGACGTGACTTCTCACTCGTCTGATTCGCTGCATATATTTCAGATATAATTGAGATATATTCCGTCTCTCCAAATGCCAGTTGGTAACTTCGAAAAACTTGGATTAACTCCAAAAAAAAAAAAGGGATGTTGGAGAGCTCACCCATGTTCCACGGTCAAACTTCACCAACGACTAACTGCCCACAGGAAAGGGCCGACAACCTTCCGGCGATCACAGATAATTTTGCGAAAACGATAAAAACGGAAAAAAAAAATAGATCAGAGAATAATACAGAATAAGCTGTGGTTGGAGGAGTATACTCTTGTAAGCAGAAACTACAATGAACTCGACCCTTTTCGCCGGTATCTGAGTGTCTTCATCAGCGAGCATGCCTGAAGAGTGAAGAGATCCGCGGATCGCTCGCGCGACTAGTTTGGCGGCAGCCCTTTGCGAATATGAAATTGAAGGGTTCGGAGGCCCAAATAAATGGGGCTCGTGGTGTTCATGTTTCTGGGCCCTAGGTTAAAACTCGAGTTCAGTATCAAGGCCCATACGAATTATTCTATTATTAATATTTTATTAAAAAAGGTACTAATGACGTGTAAATTCTGTTGTTAATATTTTTTTTTCTTGGCGGTAAAAAATTATTTTATTTTTTTCTTCTGTGGGAAAAAAAATGTTTTTAAAAGTATTTTAAGTAAGTCGACACAAAATTTTTCTCATATACTTATTGTATGTACTGTAAAATTATTTTTAAAATAATAATTTGATTTCCATCCAAACACTTCTTATATCTATTACTTTTATCCCATTCTTCTCCCTGATCCCATTGTGCAAATTAAAATAAGTAGTGAGAAAAAATATCGATCAGACGCGATTGATTTTTTTTTCCAAAGACAAAAAGGGTAAAATAGCCTTAATAGTTAGTACTTGCCCAGTGGAAAGATTAAAAGTATTATTATTTTTTATAACGTCAGAGTTAGCTAGAGCTAGGCCTATTGCTGTCTTCCCCGAGACTATCCTGGTTTTATCGGGACTAGGGGTGAATATTCGGTTTTTCGGTTCGGTTATCGATAATAACCGAACTAACCGAATAACCGAATATAGTAAAATTTAAAAACCAAACCGAAACCGAATAACCGAACTAACCGAAACCGAATTAACCGAAAATTTCGGTTCGGTTAACCGATTAACCGAAATATATAAATATGAAAAATGATTTTAAATTAAAAATAATAACAAAACACAATTACAACTATTAATTAATAAATATTTCATGATTCAATATGATTTATTATAATAATATTTATTATAACCATATTTATTGAATATAAATATATTTAAAAAGTTCATATATACCCACATGTATATTTATTATGATAATATTTATTAAATATAACTATATGATATATTTATTTGGTTATTCGGTTATAACCGAATTTTTTTTTTTCTACTAACCGAACCGAACACCGAACCGAATTGTTTAAAAAATAAAAACCGAATATATAACCGAAAACCGAAATAACCGAACCGAAAAACCGAAATTGAATTCGGTTCGGTTCGGTTTTCGGTTACAGTTCGGTTTTGTTCACCCCTAATCGGGACAGGGATGAAAAGGAACATCTCGTTTATTTTTTTTTTTTAATCAATGTAATTCACGCTTAGATCTTTATTTATGTTGTGATATTTTTTTTATTGAGCTTTTGAAGATAGAAATGCTAAAAAAATATTATCTACAAGCTTAATTATATAATATAAAAAAGATGTAAAAATAATACTGTAAAAAAAAGAATTATTATAAAAGAAATACTATATAATTGCTTTATAAATTATTTTACTAATAAGATAATATTACAACTTAAAAGCTGAAAATCACTATAAAAAATAATTAAATAATCTAATAAAAATTATTAATAAATAATTTTTGAAAAAATCGATAGGATGACTCCGTCCCATGTCTCATCCCATCCTGATCACTGTTTTATCCCGTCTCGCCTATTTCAAATTTGTTTTTGTCTTATCCTATTCTGTCCCAAAATTGATCAGGACTGAAAGATGAAATGGTCAAGACGAGACAAGTTAGGCACTCCTAACTAAAGCTCGAATTATTTGCTTAAGACGTAAAGATCATTTGCAAATGATTTGAGTTGTATTGGGATTTTAAACCACCTTCTTTGAAATTTTTATTCGCTCTCATTGGTGTGATCAGGATCCTTTATTATACATTTTTTTTAACCAAAGTACATTTTTATACATTACTCAAATATAATAATTTTTTTAAAAAAAAGATAGATATATTAATAACTAAAACAACCTAAAAATATCGTGAAAATATTATCATACTTTGAATATTGCGTAACATAGTATATAGATGCTGCAGGGTATCGGGGTATCCATATTTACAGGAAGAATTGTAGTGAAATCTTTCGTACAAAAGAAATAACTAACAAAAAGTTATAATTATAAGTGACGAGTTATTATTTTTATTTTAAAACTTGTCATTACAAATTGTTTAATTATCATTAAAATTTTGTAGTAATTATTTTTTTTTCTTAAGACTTTATTATAATTTTTTTTAAGTATCAAATATGTGATCTAAAAGCATAACTATTTCACACATTGGTCATTGGAACGTGGGTGCTTATTAGAGTTATAAGCTCTCTAAATTTATCACACTATCCAAATCTAATCGGGACAATTTATATTTCAAATTTTCAATTAATAATTTAAAAACAATGATTAAAAATTATCTCTATTTTATATTTTAATCTCAATGACATAATTGTTTAAAAAACAAATCTAAAATGTCCAGATGTAATGAGCACTCAAACTCATTCATGCACTATTAGAGGCTTTTAAGAGTAAATAAAATTTTATGATTTTTTAAGATGAACCTCATCGGCCGTATCTCTTATCCTAACGATTGTATATAAAATTTATTGACAACAATACTCTCCCCTCGTCATATTAAAATGCAGGTATATAATTTTCTCCCCATCGCAGTTATATAATTATTAAAAGACGCTTTTTGTAACAGTTAATTATTTTGTTGCGAGAATTTAGATAAAAAATGCAAAAAACAAATTACAATAGGCAAATCTTGGATGGAGTGTAATTAAAATCCATTAATAAAAAGTGGACCTCAAGTACTACTTCGGATCTTAAATATAAAAGTCAGTTGATAGTCTTAAATATAAGACTCCAGTTTACTTCGTCTTTCAAATTTATAATATGTTGTCACAAATATCCCTACTAAACGTAAAGTATTTTTACTAAAGTATAGTTTTAATGTATACATGATTGACTAAGAATAATTTAAGAAAGTCAGTATACATTTGTTACAAATAACTAATTTTTTTAAATATTTTTATTTAGTTTTTATATTAAGTAAGGAGACAGTAATAAAAAAATTTCCCCATTCCTTCCCCACATGCAATTACTCTCATTTCTTCTATTCCACTCAATCAAACTCCAAATTTGCACGAGCGTATTCCATATGGACCATGCAGGTTTTGGGACATATACCATACTCACTGTTTTACGAAAAACAAAACAAAAATTATATTAATTCAATTCACAGTGCTCGTCCGTCCAGAGCTTTGATTATGACAGTACTATTTATTTTCGTTTCAACACAATATAATGCTGGCCCAAGACGGAAACGCCTGCAGCCTGTCGCCGTCCTTCCTATTAATTTAAGGTTTCTCATCCTAAGTCATAGCGATCGATGAAACCAATGCATCACAATCCCAGTCCTATATAAACGCCATCGAGTGTTACTCAGATTGGTGTGTCATCAATCAGGCGATTATCTTCACCTACTTCATAATTTCGTTGCGTTTTCTTTCAAATTAATATGGCTTGTGCTCGCATCGTCTTCCTCGCTATTTCCATGGTGCTGCTTTCTTCTGTTGCCATGGCGGTTGATCACGTCGTGGGCGATGACCGGGGCTGGACCACTGATTTCAACTACGCAGAATGGGCCCAGGACAAGGTTTTTCAAGTCGGTGACAACCTAGGTACGTGCGAATGACATCGTACTGTGTCCTCATTACGTAAAATATTTTGTTCGCTCGCTGAGACTTCAAAACTGATAAGAGGCTGTTTCTTTTTGATCATGCAGTGTTCAATTACGACAACACGAAGCACAATGTAGTCAAATTGAACGGTACGCTCTTCAACAGTTGCACATTCCCAGCTGGGACGGAAGCACTTACCAGTGGGAACGACGTCGTCCAGCTAACCAGCTCAGGGAGGAAGTGGTACGCTTGTGGGAAAGCTGATCACTGTGCTGCTCGTGGAATGAAGCTCGCCATCACCGTTCTAGCCAATGGTCCAAATTCTGCTCCTGGTTCTCCTCCTCCTTCCTCCCACGCTCTGTCATCGTCTGCTTCTGGGCCTCTCATGGCAGCCATGCTTGCCGTTGCTGCATTAGTCTTCGCGTGATTGAGTTCATTCGTGGAGGTTTTGCTCCGTTCTGCAGGAATTATATTACTTTGATTATATTCTTCTTTATTGTTCTACTTGTTCTAGTTAAACGTATTTGATTATTGTTGGTTTGGGGTATGGTAATTTCTTTATATGTTACTACTTCTAGTCATGATTAAAGTCGGTGTGTCTTGAAAGAAATAGGATACATGATGTTCAGTAGTGATTATATATGTATTTAATTTACACAACTTCAATGGAGAATATGGCTTAACTGAGAAAATAAGAATCGGCGACCATGCTTTTGCACATGTCTGTCACATAACTTGCGATGAGAAGTACGAGAATGACGACGAGAAAGACTTTGAGAGCGACTTCCCTGGTTGATTCGGGTGTTAATTTTGCATCAGTCTCTCCTTCAAATTCGTTCTCTGACTCGTCCATGTCTTGTTTTACTATCTCATTGCTGGGTGTGAATTGGACTTTAGTATCTTCTCTCGTCCTGTTCCTTCCTGTAAATTCCATTCTTGGATCTGCAGTAGTATCTTTTTCCTTATGGGGTCGTTCGTATTCTGGGGCTGGCCTTTGTGGGTCCGTATGAGAAACTGGATTAACTTGCTTGGGCATCACCAGCGTGAGAATGCTCTGCATGAATCTGGCATTGATAGCGTTTGCATTACAGTGAGGTGGAATTTCAATTTCCTTCTTGAAACGCCTCCATCTGCTTCCATCCATTAATGCTCGCTCGCCGCTTATTATTATAAAACCCAGATGATTCACCTGAACTTTTACTTGCTCTCTCCTGAATCCTGCACGATGTACAACCCGCGCATAATTTTATAGTTATTCAGACCTC